AAAATAGTCATTGGCGTAGAAGTTCTGTTTAAGAAAGGGGTTGAGCACCCCCTCCACTCCGCCACTGTGCAAGTTTTTGAACATTTTTATCGCTTGTTTTATGCCCCTTAATTAATAGGCATTATCTCCCAAACATGAAAAAAATCTAAGCATTCGTTTATAAGTTATAATGAATATTCGAGAAAAAAAATTATATTCAACACCCCGTATCTCGGAAACGAAGCCTTCTACGACATATGTTTATAGGAACTTTTCTTTTTAAAAACATGTGTTCTATCTCCTGTTAAAGTTTGTCTACAAAAAACTGACTCACCCTGTATAGCTTCATTAGGCCTAGCCTTACACCTTTTTCCTGTGTGACTTTTTTCAATTTTGGGGCGTTTTCCCTCTAATTTTTCCGAAACACGTCGTTTTGACGATATATGAAAAATTTATAGATACCGTTTTTTTTTTAATTGAATAGCTTAAAAACTTCAAATTAAACGTGAAAGTAAAATTCTCTGACAAAAGATATGAGTCCTTCAATATGTCTGCAACCTCGAACATGTCAGAAAAACTACTAAGGGTATAAGAGATGTTCCTTTAAAATTCGAAATACCGTCATATGATCAACATTTAGCGGGAATGCAATCTTTCTAGTACTGGTAGTAGGTTGTTCTTGTATCAAATTAAATACTGCTTCCTCAAGCTGTGGTGTTCTTACTTCTCGATGGCGACCACAATCCTGCGTTCTTTTGTTGAATGAACCATATTCACGTAATCGTTGATGAAGTCAGACAAATATTCTATGTGAAGGATGCTGCCGTTGAGGATACATTTCAGCATATCTTGTAGAAGCTTCTAACCCATTCCCCTGCGACAGACCGTAAACGTAATGCATATCAGCCATTTCCTCATTTGTGTATGCCATTTTAATAACAAGTGAATTATTAAAGTAACAAATTAAGAACAGAACAATACACAATTAGTATTACTTCAATTTCAAAAATTTACAAACTGACAGCTTGATTCCAATTTAATTGTCAGTATCGCTAATGGCGGCCTACTAGATAAATTAGTTTCGTATTTTCGTTTTATGGCGATATGTATCTTGTTCGTAAAATAATTTTTTGCTGCGAACTGGTTTAATTTGGGCAAAAAATTCAAGAGACATTTTTTTTTAGAATGAAACAGGCTATCGGAAATAAATTTTTAAATGGTAAAAAAATAATAAGACAAAAAATTACGTTGGAAATAAATTTTAGGGGTTGCGTTTTCCACCCCTTACAACCATGGGGTAAACCAAATAAATTACTGGCTAAGTGTCTTTTTGGTAGTAGAAAATGTCAGGTTAATTTCAATATTGTAACTTGTTTAGTGCTTTTGAAAAAAATTGTTAAACAAATTTTATGTACCCCCTTTAAGGGGCTGTATCTTAACAAGGGATGCTCCAATGAAGTTTCTTTATATGAACGATCCTATCTTTTTTTCGATGAGGAATCACCCCCTTAAATGTTTTACACTTATTTAGTTACACCCTGTATTAGCATGAACTTTCTGTCGTTTTTTTTAACAATCCAGAGGTATTGCAGCCCAAACAGGTTCACATATTTCATTTTATTATGGAAAAAAGGTAACGTTTCTTCAAACATCAAAGTACATTTTTAATGACACGTTCACGTTTTTTAAACACTATTCATACCTCATGAAAATGTGAAAATTACAAGTTTTCCGTCTTATTTATTATTGTCAACTAAAATTCTGTTTATATGTAACTAGCTTTTACCCGCGGCTTCGCTCGAATTGAAGCCATTAAAATAAATATAGAAAATCTTTCGTAAAAAATAATTTTTTTAAAAAAAAAGTATCCTATGTTACTTCTAATACCTCCAAGAATATGTGTACAAAGTTTCATGATGATCGGTAAAGTAGTTTTCGCATAAAAGCGTAACAAACAAACTTACATTCACATTTATAATATTAGTAGGGATACGTAGGTACTATTTAAGGCAAAATTAAAGTAGTTTATCTGATTCCTTGCTGACGTCATGCACAGACAGGAAGAAATTGAGCCGACTGACGAGCACACCACATATTCACATCACGGTTACCTTTATAGTTTGGTCACCAGTACCAGTGCGATTTTTAACCATCCAAACGTTTTTGACACATTTCTTGTTTTTTACAATCACCATAGACACCAGTTTAGTGTCATATTAACATTTTACAAATATTTATCGACGTTTATACATCTTTGTCCCTTTTATTTGCCATTATTTTTCCCTTCAGGGTGAGTAACTCGTATCCTTATATCCGAACATAAAATTTCCATTTTTAGTCGCCCGTGCTGTCGAAACTGAACCTATTCATGTCGAAAGATAAACCTCCTGCAAGCGCCTCGCCTGTCCCGAAGGGCCCTTCTAGACCCATGAAGTACCCCTACACCTTTTCCGCCAAAATAGCCCAGTTCCCCTACAAATTCTACTTCCAGAACAACACGATATTCAGATATTATTGCTATGGGGTGATCGCCGCCGTGCCTGTCTTTGTTTATATCAGTAGATTGTGTAAGTAAATGTAATTTTTATATTTTGCTGTTTGTGATATAAATTTTAAAAACAATTATGAAGAAAACGTGTATGTCGTATCAATATCTATGTCCATTTAGTTTAAAATCTGTTTTACATAATGCCTTTTTTTTGGCTGTGGCACCGTTTAGGTACAATAATTTGGCAAATTTATTGGTCGAATGAATTGGCTACAAACTTTTGAAACAAAGATTATTCTTGATGACACCAAACCGTAATAAGCTTATGCAAACTTACTGCAAAGTAACTGAAATGCAATAACAAATAAGTACTTATATGTAAAGTATTAAAAGAAACAGTAAAGTAAAATTGTAGATCGTATTTTAAAATTCATTCAAAATTGATCATTATATTAGGACCACTATTGTCTCCAATTTTATTTACTAATTTATTGAAGCAAAGACCACAGTTTATGTCATATTACATACATCAATACAGTAGTCGATTTTTTATAATTTATTGCTTAAAAATTGGAAAAACTAAAAGAGGTTATACGGTTTGCAAAGTATACACATTGGAGAAACATTTTACGTTAACGTAACTTTTGTTTTCAAATAGGCCAGGAAAATAAGCTGGGAAATGACCATTTTGCGACTTTTTGTTTCGGCAAGCTGAATTTATCACTATAGTTGCTAAATATTATGTACAATAATAACATATTAGTTTCCACAGTCATAAAAATGGGGGGAAGAATGTTTACAGGGTGGTTAATTGTATAATTTTTACGTAAATTCACGTTTTTCGCTTATAACTTTTTCGTTCATTTCCACGAGAAAACAGTAAAGTACTTTTTTTTGTCTTCAAAAGACCTACAAAACTAGCCCTCGAGCGTCAAAAAATATTGATTAGATCAAAAGTTATAAACAGAAGAAGTTTATTTATGACTTTTGAATTAAACATTTATAAACTGCGTTATTATTACCAGAACGTTTTGGCATCGCATCCTCTCATTCCTTATCACTGTCTAATAACTCACACGAAATCTGGAATCGGTAAGTTGAATAGTTTACAAGTTATGGCCTTATAAACAAATTAACTAATTATTAGTCTGGACGATCCCGAGGATCTTCCACAATCGCACTGATTTTTTTCATGGTAGATTTCATAATAATACATTGAAATCTATCATTTTTTTTTAAAATTTCGAATTTGCAATCAGGAAAGTTTTCTTATTTTTTAGCCTTAGTTGCAAAATGAAATATACGACGCACGCGCGTGATATAGTTATATATTATTACATATTCGGAAAGCTTATGAAAAGAGCTTTAAGTTAAAAAAAAATCGTCAAGATTCGTTGAAAAACAACGGAGTTACAGACTGTCAAATATATTATTTTCAAGCGAATTTCGCTTTTTTAACGGCAGGACTATGAATATTATCGTCATTTTCTTCGGACTCGCTGTCGTTCGCTTCCCCCACCCTTCCGCCGCGCCACGGCTCGCCGAAAATCAAGCGACCTACTGACTTTTGACAATATTTCTTATGCACTTAACATACTTCCACAAATAAAATATTTTTATCTGGGAAAGTACTCGGGTTGCCGGTTATGACAGTATTTTTTTTCCCGCTACCAACCTAATTTGTTTAACAATAGGCCGTCAACTTTGACAGTCTGTAACTCCGTTGTTTTTCAACGAATCTTGACGATTTTTTTTTAACTTAAAGCTCTTTTCATAAGCTTTCCGAATATGTAATAATATATAACTATTTCACGCTCGTGCGTCGTATATTTCATTTTGCTAATATTTAGCATCTATAGTGATAAATTCAGCTTGCCTAAACAAAAAGTCCCGTCCAACTCTCTATTTCCTGGCCTAAAAATAAAATTAAAATTTAAGGCAATAACAATATCTTAAAATTTTGACGAAAACTTCTGTTTCTGTTACATTCTCCAAGCTTCGGGTTGCATTCGGGTTCATTAAAAATTATGTTGATTAACAAAAAGTTAGAATTTCTTTGACCTCTAATGACATTCACAACGATAAGTAAACATACTTAAATACCCAAATAGAATATACTTAATGGTTGATTTTTATGTAGATATATTGGTTACATACATTTTTAGTTGTTTTATTCTACAAATATTGTAATTTATGTACAGGGTGTACCAGATAATTTCTGATGGTTTTGAAAATAATAAATAAATAAAATAATAAAATGTAGGTACCTACATACCTTTTAAGTTGTTAAAGCATCGTCCGAACAACGCTGGCAATTATGGTAAATAGCAAATTTTACTTAAAATCAGCTGTAAAATAAAGTTTTTTAACGATCCTAGAAACGTTCTGCTGTAACAGTGTTTTAAAGTTTCTTAAATTTAAAGAGATTTTAGTTAATTATGAAACCTGCCCTTAAATATTCTGTAACTTGCAAATAAATCAATTTTGGACTAATGTACTACTTATTCATTTAAGTAACAAACGACATATTTATAGTTAAGTAGTACCTAATATTTTGTGTCTTATTTACAAAAAGGATTTTTGTTCTCTTTACCACTGTTTTAAGATTATTATGTGAATATTAACATAATCCCTTCTCTCCATTTTGACAATCCTACACTAACCTTGTTATTAACATGGCACCAGTATTCTTGGTGATGATAAATATGATCTACTATTTTTTTTATAGTTTTCCTCTTCGACGGCGAGGACTTGATCGCCCCAATCAATCTGTTAAAAAAATGATTAATAAGACGACGAGACAATACATCACGCCTTATTTTAGATTCTCCTGTTTGTGGAAAAAAAAAACTTGCGATCGAACAATGGCAAACATCACCTGTTGCTAATTATTTTTATCATGTCATCGGAACCTGATTGATGTTTTTTTTTTTCCTCCAAACATATACCGTTTCGGGTGATTTCGCATACATATGATAAGTGAGGGCAACGAACTTTTTCTGCATCATATCTGGCGATGGTAGACGTGCGATAATATTTTAATCCAGTTGGCTGTGATAATTTGTCAGTACTTTTTTATTGCAAAATAACAATGACGCAACTGTACGAATAAATTGTTTTAAATTTTTAGGTATGCCCTAATGACTTTTGTATTAGTTTTATTTTTTCTGTTCTCACCTCGAAAAAAAATCCAGTACTTAAATAAATTTTTCTTTTTTTTTCTTATATGGAGGGAGGTATATTTGCAATGTGCTTGCAAATTTCCAAATTAATAAAAACCTGAATAATTCTAGATACTTTTTAGTGACAAAATTCGTTTTCATCAAANAATTAATTATTATATAACCGAAAGATGGGAAAAAATCAAAATCAGTTAACGTGTTTCGGCGTTTAAAAAAAAATTAACTCATTCAAAAGATATGAATTTTATTCTGTACTTCTGGTCATCCCTGTACATATAAAAGAGTTACATAAAATTTAATGTCCCAGTTTGAATTTTAAGCATTAAAAAACGTCTGGCGACAAAAACACTCCTTATGCGTATATTATGTAATGGATATGCCATGCATTATGTATGATTCATTTTGCTTATTTAATATATGTATTTTTTTTAGCAAACTCCCCAGCTAATAAAAAGAAATGGGCCGAAATACGAAGAAAGGAACATGAAGAGCTTGCTCTTAGATTTGAATGATCAGTTACAATTAAAATTATTTAATGTAATGTATTACTTACGCGTATAAATAAAACTAATTTATCTTTTGAGGTTTTGTATACTTTTATATGCATGAATTGAACGATTATTGTGGCGATTTAAAATTAGGGTCCTGGGTATGAACAAAGATACGAAAACTCGTTTAGTATTTTTTTCATTGCTGTTGACTTACACAGTCCCTGAGAGAAAAGTTGACACTGTATTTGAATACGATTGAATCACGGAATTGTAGTAAATGTATTTAAATGTATAACGATAATTAAACCAAAGTTGTAAATATTAATTAATAGTTTAGTATTTATTTGGTTGGTTTCTAGAGTTTGGTCTGTATGCATGACAGAAATATTTGTTTACCTACGTTTTTGGTTTGTGATTTTTCGTTATAATTAAATTCTTGTTTAATTTTAAACTGCATTTTAAGAAGAGCCAGTTGGTGAACATTTGTATGTGTTTATTTATAAAATTTATATACATGCTGTCTCCTAAAAAACGCCGCAAGGCATAACTCCGTTATTTAGTCTTATTTTAAAAAACAAAAAATTAAATGAAATGGCTCTAAATACAATAATATAAAGGCAGCCTATTAAAGCTTTTTTACTTTTTTTTTTTGAAGAGCGGTAGTCAACTTTTTTTTTTCAAATGGCAAAAAATAATACAGCAAAGAAAATAAAACTCAACAGAGAATTTTGTAGTTAACAGAAAAGAAACAATACAATTAATATCAATTAAAAGAAAAACAAAGAAATTCAATTAAACACAAAACACATCAAACGATACGAAGAACAACAAACACAAACAACTAAAGAAATAAATTGCAGTCGTCCTCTATTGCCTGTACTTTTTGAGGAATGTATGGCTTGAATTTGTACGTTTTCAATACTGCATATACAATTAGTTTCCGTTGATGCTCTAATATTATTAGAAATTTCCCGAATGTAAGTTCTTGGGTTTTCTTCAACGTTAAGAAGAACATTGAACTCGATGTTTTCATTAAATTGGCGTTCTCGCTTTGGTTTCTTAAAAGCATTATAGTTTCTCAAATTTTCTTCAAGTCTTGCAAATCTACGTGGTTCTGGAACTTCTCTGCGAGGAAATAGTTCTCTGTAAAGTCGGACTCCTGTACCACAATTTTTATTACATCGAAAGTATACCTGAATCATGTCCGTCAATTGATTATTACTCATATTCTTCACTGTTGAGATTATTTCAATAAATAACTTACTGTAAATGACACAGAAAGAAAAAAGTTGACTATCGCTTGTCAAAAAGAAATAATAAGTACGCTCCAATATAGGCTCACTCTATAGTGTTTTTAGAGCCATTTCATATAATTTTTTGTTTTTCAAAATCAGACTATAAATAACGGAGTTATGGCTTGCAGCGTTTTTTAGGAGACAGCCTGTGTAATCATATACAGGGCTGGAAAATCCACATGGTCCATCTGCCTTTACATGAGAGCGACAAAGTAAAGTAAAGAAATCCGTGCGATAGACAAGGATGGCTATAATGAAGACGTTTCATAATCTGAATAGTCACCGCCCGTTTCGGATTAGAACTATTCAGATTATGAAACGTCTTCAATGTAACCATCCTTGTCTATCGCACGGATTTCTATGACTTATGTTATCGCATTCACGTAACGGGTCGATGTACCATGGGGACTTTCCGAACCTGTAGATTGATTGGTCATTCCGTTTATTAAAAAGGATGTGATAAAATCCAATAATATTATTATTACTACAACTAATTTTAATATTTCTTCACGAAGGTACAAATGAGAATATGCACATTTCTGTGACGCAGTCAGATCAGCAAAAATCGCGCTAATTCTTGAAAAAATTAACTATTAAAAAAATAACAATGTTTTGATAACTGAAAATAAATTCAAATCTCATGTGACGTAATACAGTTTTTTAAGCTCTTAAAAAACGAATTAAATCAGACAATAAAATATATATTTTTTACAAATATGTTTCAATTTAAAATTGACTACGCTGTATATAATAATTATTCTAAATCATTTTAAATGGTTTTCAAACTATCAGATATACCCCGCCAATTCTGTGTTCGAAAATGCTGAAATTTATTCAGATCTCGTTTCAAAGTAACACAAAAATTAGACGAATAAATGAATTATACTTACCAATAGTACAACGTGAGGATTTGCATCACACAAATAGTGAATGTTGTGAAAATTTAGTTTGCCGTCTCCGGTAAAACAACATTCATCGGTACTGTTAGATACACCCATTTCTCAGCCAATGTCGCGAGTAACACTGCAACACACAACACACGTGCACAAGATGCACAGGGGCGGCGTGTCGACTTACGTTTATAATTAATTTTCTCAAAAACAGAAGCATTTAAACCATTAGTTGCTTAATAAAAGTTGCTTATTGTCATGCCCTCTGTCATACATTTCAACGTACTTATTTCAGTAACACCCTATATATGTTGAAAAGATATAAGTGTGCTCAAGGTTAAAATACATGGTAGCTTCTTTCTGACAACTTGAAAGCGTGATCAATTTAAAAATGACTTCCCAGTTATTTCTGCGAGAAGTTGAACTTTTTAACTTCTATTGTTCTTCTCTTTACCATATGTTGCGTCTTGTTTATCCAAATATAAAAATTAATCTTGTGTACAAACAAATGTACAGTTTAGAGAATAAATAGTCTTTGCCTCTGTTGGAAAACGATTTTTAACTTAAGTTATGATATTAACAGTACCATATTTATTGTTTGTAGTCACAGTAGAATGTAGAACTAGTTTGTGTATTACTTCTGCGCATGAGCATAGCTGCAAAAACATCGACACGTGTTTAGGAATCACAGAAAAATACAAAATAGGCAACTTCTAACAGCTGTAATATATGTTAACCTTGACTCCAAGTTAGGCATATCAATTTTCAGTAGCAACAAAAAAATCTTACTAGTATTCACTGAAAGTCATCACCGTCGACGTCATCTTTATTGTACTAATCCAGATGGCGCTTTGTACGTTGTCATGAACACAGTGTCTTTAAAAAGTCACATTTCAGTCATTTTAAAATTGCTTTTTGATCCTACTAGTCCACGTGGAACGACTTAAACTCTGTGAAGGATAATCCTTACTGATTGACCTTGAGGGGTCGCCCCTAATCGTTATTCGCCACTACGCGAAAGTAAACAAGTGTATTCAAATTGTTTTCCCCGGGAGAGTTCAAGGTCGGCGGACAGCAGGTTTAATGAACGTACTTTTAATTTTTGCACGATATGTATCTGAACGCTTTACTAGTGTCACTTGTGGTTCCGTGACTCATACACACACAGTCAAATTTTAATTACAGGTACGCCGCTATCGAATAATAATGAGTCGGGAGGAGGATGCTAGGCGGGCAAGTGTTACCATGAAGGATTGGTTTCAAGCGGTGAATGTCTTTTTTATCAAAAATGTCATCAAGGCCGATTTAAAACCTCTGTAGAATTAGAGTTAGAGGGTGGTATGGAAATGTAACTATACTGAGGGATGGTAATTTGAGTAGCGACTAAGACTTGGTTAATTAGACAGTGTATACCACTCTTGAAAACCTGTCAGAGAACTTTCTAATTTTGGAATTGTCAGGGAAATATCAGGGAATTTCTATATCATGAAATTTTAAAACAAATTATAATCAGTCTTTGATATGAAGCTACTGAATGTTAGTTGCTGTAAATTTGTTACTAAGTACCGGACCTGTTATTAAAACTACCTTAAATTAAAATCGATTATTATGCCGATAATTTTACAGAATGAACGTTATTGGCCAAACTCTAATGTTATTGATTGTGCCTTTTAAATTTCCGTAGCGAAATAAAGTTAATACTAAAAAAAAGTGGCAGTTCTCTTTTTAATTGTGGTGCTTTTATTTTTAACTGGCTTCAGAACAAATGAAGATACTGAAATTCAATTTTGTGTGCATAGTGCTTAAATAAAAGGGCATAACTTTTACCATTATAGTACAAATAATGGTAATTTTAATCACTATGTTTCTTTAGTATATATTTAGGAACAATGTTTTGTTAAAGAATTTTTAATATTTTCAGTCCTGAGAAAGTTAAAAAAAAAGAAGCGTCGGCTATACAGGGTGTAACTAAATAAGTGTAAAACATTTAAGGGGGTGATTCCTCATCGAAAAAAAGATAGGATCGTTCATATAAAGAAACTTCATTGGAGCATCCCTTGTTAAGATACAGCCCCTTAAAGGGGGTACATAAAATTTGTTTAACAATTTTTTTCAAAAGCACTAAACAAGTTACAATATTGAAATTAACCTGACATTTTCTACTACCAAAAAGACACTTAGCCAGTAATTTATTTGGTTTACCCCATGGTTGTAAGGGGTGGAAAACGCAACCCCTAAAATTTATTTCCAACGTAATTTTTTGTCTTATTATTTTTTTACCATTTAAAAATTTATTTCCGATAGCCTGTTTCATTCTAAAAAAAAATGTCTCTTGAATTTTTTGCCCAAATTAAACCAGTTCGCAGCAAAAAATTATTTTACGAACAAGATACATATCGCCATAAAACGAAAATACGAAACTAATTTATCTAGTAGGCCGCCATTAGCGATACTGACAATTAAATTGGAATCAAGCTGTCAGTTTGTAAATTTTTGAAATTGAAGTAATACTAATTGTGTATTGTTCTGTTCTTAATTTGTTACTTTAATAATTCACTTGTTATTAAAATGGCATACACAAATGAGGAAATGGCTGATATGCATTACGTTTACGGTCTGTCGCAGGGGAATGGGTTAGAAGCTTCTACAAGATATGCTGAAATGTATCCTCAACGGCAGCATCCTTCACATAGAATATTTGTCTGACTTCATCAACGATTACGTGAATATGGTTCATTCAACAAAAGAACGCAGGATTGTGGTCGCCATCGAGAAGTAAGAACACCACAGCTTGAGGCAGCAGTACTTAATTTGATAGAAGAACAACCTACTACCA